CGGCTATGTAACAATGGTTATATTGAGGACAAAGTCCATTTAGTGTTTGTCTGCCCGTTTTACGCATCATTAAGACAAAAGTATATTCCGGTAAGATTCTATAACAATCCATGTATTCTTTTAGCAATCTCATAAATAGCCCAAATGACTATACTCAGAAATGTAACTAAGTATGTGAAGGAAGCTCTGTTATTACGTACAAAGACCTAATATTGTACCCTTAGTATTCTTTTCAATGTAATTTGCCTCAATTGTGTGTTACGACAGTGTTCCCTCGTTACTGCGCCCTTCAATATAGCGCTAACTCGGTTATAGCGCGCGGTAAAGCATGGCTTCCAAAATTTACTAACATTTTCAATAAACTCAAGTTTTCCAATGACACAATGTTTTCCCCCATCTCAGAAAACATTATCAGCTGATCAGCGCGATCACGTAACACCGGAAATACCAGTCAACAAATCCGAACAGAAGTACGCAATTAATCCTATTATTATAATATCGGGTAATATCAAAAAAATTTCATTGTTTATCTTGACTAATGTTTGCAATATATACTTTTTAATTATATTGAAAATTTCATTTAATAATGTTTTCAATAATTTCGGCGGAATCGTATGCGAAGTGATCTGTAGATCACGCAACTAACCGTTATTAACAGCAACCACAGTCAGATTACCGCTATTGACACCTTGAAACAAACTTTAGTTGCAAGAGAATGGATACACACATCATATATGCCGTACCATGACCCGTTAAAAGTCATATTTGAGGCAGTTTGACAAATAAATGTCAACATAACGATTTCGCAATCGAAATACATGTCGCGCGGGAAGTCCCTACGGTGACTGGTCAAAATCGTTACATACGTCATAAAATATCCTGCATACAATCTGTATCAAAGTGCTATGCTTGTGGTTCCTATAATTTTAAGTATATATGGTGGAAGCTGCAACTAAAATAACATGATATTGGAATATATTATTCCTGATAAAATAATAATTTCGGATACAATTTCATCCGACCATTGCATCAGATTTCTGTAAAGTGGTACCAATGGGTACGTTTTTACTGAATCAGGGGCGGCCGGGTAGCATAGTGGTTAAAGCGTTCGCTCGTCACGCTGAAGACCCGGGTTCGATTCCCGACATGGGTACAATGTGTGAAGCCCATTTCTGGTGTCCCCTGCCGTGATATTGCTGGAATATTGCTAAAAGTGGCGTAAAACCATACTCACTCACTCACTATAATAATGATTGTACAATTTTGAATACTTTAATCCTGTTGCATTAAGCAAATATAGGATCTGATGTTGTCATATTGTGAATCAATTTAGTAGCTGTCCATCTCCCAGAAATAGAGTTAGTTTGGCCTTGGCTATTGCATCTCTTGACTTTAGGAGATCTATGACAGATAGCGGATCTAACTGCAATTCTTGTTTTAACCTAGCCTGGGCTGGGGCATGGTCTTGACATTCTAGTAACACGTGAGCAATGGTTTCAGCCTGATTGCAAGATGAACAAACCTTGTCATAGTGCTTTTTGTGACCGAGTATGAGGCGTGAGATAGCAATTTAAATTTTCCTTTCATTTGAGTATGAGTTTGGCTTTTGTTGGACCTTGGGTTCAATTTTGTAAAGCCATTTGTTGCATCCCATTGGGCTTGCCATCTTTCTGCTATGGAGGCTTTGATTTTGATTTTTATCTCTAGTTTACTAAAGGGAATATGCTGTATATCCACTTTGTCTAGAGCTAGCTTCACCAGTGAGTCTGTTTTTTCATTTCCATGAATATCTGTGTGAGAGGGGATCCAACACAGCTCCACCTGTTGCCCTTGGTCCGATAGTTTTCTGTCATATGCATATTTCGCCACGGGCCTGTCAGGCCATTTAGTGTTTGGTGGAAAAGGGTATGTCCGAAAAGGTGAGGCAACCTAGTTGGGACTTTTAGGGTTGCTTACTTAATTTGGGGAACATGCAAAAGGTGGAGGGGGGGTTGGGGGGTTGGGATTGGTGGACTAAAGGGAGTTTTTATAGGTTTAGAATTTTAGGGTTTATTGGCAGCTTGTTTGGTGTACTTTTATTTTTAAATGCGGCCAAGTAGGCCTGTTTTGATTAGATATATGCCTAGTGCTTTAAATGTTTGTAAGTCATTTAGGGGGTTAAGTACCGTTGCTAGTGTCATTTGATTATAAAAGTGAAACTTTTGGTTTGGGATGAAAGTACAAAAAAATACCCTTAAAAATACATGATTAAAGAATTTCAGAATCAACTGTTTCTTGTATTTATGCATGCCTTCACACAAACTGAAAAAGTATACATATATTTATATAGCTATATTTACACGCATGGCACAAAGATTAACATGAAATAATAATGTTGGTCATGTTTGTTAATTTCTACATTTCGTTGTTATTGGTATCCTGAGGATGTTGTAATTATACATGGGTTCTGGTCTTCTTTGACGTAGAATACATGAACTGGTTGAGTGACTTTCTGCCATCTACCTGGTACTAACAGTTCACTATCAATCTCCTCTGATAACAAACTGTTACATTTGATATCCCCAAGCAACAATACTCAGTATGCTCATGGAGTAATTGTCAAAATCGGAAACCCGAATGATATCCTGTCTACATGGTCACCCCCGGTGATTGTTAAGATCTACACTCAGTAACATGGCAGTCCGTATTCATTTCTTATATCCCCCACCAAACTTCCTCTTATTAATTTTTACCCCCTCCCCCCCCCCCAAAAAAAAAAGAAAGTGGGATTTTGGGAGATGTCCCACTGTGAATAGGAAATTGTTCATGATTTTAACATATTTTAATTCAGTATATGAATCTGGATTGGTAAATAGTGTTCCAGAGACAAAGTAATATTTGTCAAGTAATATTGATATGTTGGTTAATATATATACATACATATTATAATAAATAATACATATATACATTAAAACAGAACAAAAACAAGTGGTCAACAGGTGCGGTTGATGAAAAGGTGTTATTAAGAAAAGCTATTAAGCTGTTTATACTTTATATGTATCCTACAATATGAATTTATTCTTAAGTTATTACATTAGTGCAAATCCACCACGAAGGATGTATATTTTAGTAATTTTGAATTATAGTTTATTATCATTCATTATGTATTTGACATGAGAGGGATAGCGACATGCATATAAAAACATGCTGTATTTTATAATAATGATTGGGGGGGCGGTCGGGTAGCCTAGTGGTTAAAGCTTTCGCTCGTCACGCTGAAGACCCGGGTTCGATTCCCGACATGGGTACAATGTGTGAAGCCCATTTCAGGTGTCCCCCGCTGTGATGTTGCTGGAATATTGCTAAAAGCGGCGTAAAACCATACTCACTCACTCACTATAATAATGATTGTACAATTTTGAATACTTTAATCCTGTTGCATTAAGCAAATATAGGATCTGATGTTGTCATATTGTGAATCAATTTATTTAATATTCACTTAATGGCTTTTTTGTGTACTAGTCTTATAAGTAAATGTTATTTCTTCCAAATGTTCTTTTGCAAACACATGTAGAGTCAGTGGTCATGATTGCCATGTCTATTGCACTAATGAATATAAATATCATCATTAATAAACTTACCTGAGCTCTCTGTGTTCAGAAGGCAAATCGCTGTAAGGCCTTCTTCACGGCTTTGTTCACATTCACCCTCAAATGTACAATAGAAACATCTGTGATTCTGTTTGTTCAATGTCCGACTGCAATTTTGTGACAGGTGTTTGTTTATTTATTAAAATTCACAAATTCATAAGTCAAATTGAGTTGCTAGCCTCTTCTCCAGTTGCTCACACTCCCCACTGATGCCAGCTGCCTCGGTTAACTGTAGTCTGGATATAACTATGTACAAACTCTGTTCTAGTTATGCTTATCGAGGAAGTGCATTATACTAGATGACACTTAGTAATCCTGTCACAATTATGCTTGTTTACAATAAACGCTTGTTAATTGACTAAACGAATATCCTTTTTTATATACTTAAGTAGAAGTATCACAATGGACAGTGCATACAACTGTTTGTCAAAAAGTTATTTATCATTCATAGTTTAATAAAAGAATTGAACGAGTATTAATCTGCGCCTTAAAAAAACCCAACACATCGTATCCCTTCAGGTGAATAAGCAGGTAGATCTATAACAAACTTGGTCAATAAAAATATGAAATTTGATATAAAACATCACTAGACATGATGATTTACCATTTAAAATGTATTTCCTGCTCTCAAAGGCATTGTTTTATTTGCAGAGATTAAGATTACCGTTTGTACTTTCTCGTAAACTAAGCCGGAAATAGCAATCAGCTGTGCACATGTTTCCTCCCAATCTACCGGTGATTCAGTTGAAACGTACCCAGTGATACAACTTTAAATCACTAGCCAATATATTAGCAAATATTCTACCATGACATTGATGAATGCTTTCTTCTGATTGGTTATAAAGAGGTTTCCTTTTTGCTACGGAAACCCCTTTCAAATATATTAAGCCTTTTCACAAAAAATGTGTGTTTGAATACATAGATAGCCTACATATCGATTCATAGAAAATGGCTGCCGATCGATCACCCCCATATGAACTGTAAAACATATCTATATTTCCTCTAATACACGTTGGGTCTCTAATACCAGCCAGGTCTCTAATACATGCTGAGTAAGGGGTCTCGGGAAATTAATAGACGGCGTAGCGTCAAATAGAGGAAATACGATACTTGATATCGGATGTTTGGAGCGTTCTAGGCCGCAATCCTGACTGCTTCGATAATGACATTAAAAGATTCAACGAAGCGCTCTGTTCAAGATTATAATAAAGAGGTATCTATTCTACAGTGGGACTACATCAAATTTCAAAACACAGTAGGTTTATCTCCTAATCGTCCTGGGCGCTTATTACGTCAAATACGGTCATATGAAAATATCTGGTGGTCCTTAACTCCTTTTGGGTAGTATATATAAGTTGCGTTGTGTTTCAGTGTGGATTTCATTATCTTCCAACAACCAGAGTGTCCTCCTGCCAATGTAACACAAAATAACTTTGTAACAAAGGTAAGTACTAAATCAATCACATTAAAATCAACCTGTGAAGATCCGGGGTAGAATTGGTCTTCAGCAACCAATATTTGTCGTAAGAGGCGACTAACGGGATTGGATGGTTGATGCATGACATCGTATCCCAATTGCTTGGATCGATGCTCATGATGTCAATCACTCCATTGTCTGGTCCAGACTCGATTATTTACAGCCCGCCATCATATAGCTGGAATATTGCCGAGTGCGGCGTTAAACATTTTTTAAAAAAAATCTGACGAATATCAAATGGTTGGACCCGTAGCAGCATTTGAATACATTGCAGCGTTAAACAACAAAAGTATAACCATACGTATTGTATCATGAGGTGGGAGTGTCATGACAGCCTTAGTTACTAACATGTCTGTTTTAGCATATTATGTAGGTATGGTTGTCACTCAAAAATAACTTTGACGTTTTTAGCTAGTAAGCAGTATGTAGCTGCAGTAGGTTGAGTCATATAGCTGTACAGTTAGAGAATTAGCAAGTATACAGCAGGTGAACTAGTGGTGTGACAATGCAGTGATACAAGGCCCATGATACAATGCATTGGTACGACCCATACGATACATTTCATTACAAGTTGGCCTTAAAAAAAATAAGTCTCGATGCTCAAGCACCTCCCACATCATCATAAAGTTCAACACACGTTTCCATTTTATTTCCATTTTCAAAACTATAAAAAAATCCAATTACTTAAAAACGATGCGATCCAATATAGCACAGTTACTTCCCTTTACATGCGCACTGCTTTACTGAAGTCCTTTCCTTGATTGTTTATTTGGTTACATAATAGTTATACATAAGCCTTGTATTGGTGTAAAAACATGGGAATAATAAACGAAATTGTTCAACTGCCAGCTTACAGATTCTCTTGTATTTCATGTTTGAAAATTTTCATTGAAATTATAATGTTTTCTATTTCATTTTGTCTCTAGATATTGCTGTGTTTTGTTGATGGCGTCCACTACGACATTATCTACCCAAGATCCTTTGTACAGGACGCTGCCATCTGTCAATGTAGGTGTGACGGTCATTGTCATTACTATACTCCGTAAACAAGTTCAGCAACACCATGGATTTTTCCCAATACAAAGTTCTTTATGAAAATACATCTTAAAGTGCAAAGAGTGACATAAAATTTTGAAAATATAAATAAGTATGACAAATTGCCAGCATCCATGTGCTTGGAATACCACGCCAAGAAAGAATAGAGGGTCCAGTTCAGAATTCCCAGGTTCAGTACACATGTGATGTCATCTTGTGGCTATGACAGCTGTGCAGTGTCTTCCAGGAGTGTGGAAGGTCGGTGGTTCAATCTCTGGCTGCGTCATATCAAAAGAGGTTAAAAGATGGTTCTTGTTGTTACCCTGACAAAAGGTCTGATGACCTGGCTGATGATCTGGGCGCATCAACTCTTGCATAAAATGCCACCCTGAACCATTACACTTCCACCATGAACAATCATGCTAAAAAAAATTTGATATGACCTTTTCCTGTATGTCACCATAACCTTGCCCTTCCAGCACTGAACTCACGATAAAAACTGGATTCATCCATACTGTTAACAGTACATGTCTCCAGTGACTGAACCTACTGTTGATGTACGTATCCAATCAAGTCTCTCCTGCACATCACAATGACAGGTCTACACGCCTCAAGTCTTGCCGTGTACAGCTGGTTGCGCTCAGTTTGGGCTGATATGTGATTGCCAGTAGCATGAAGAAGTCAGGTTGCCAAGTATGGTGCACTGGCTGGACGATTACGTCTTGATGATGTCAGAAAAAAGTGATCTTCCCTTGGAGTGGTTCATCACAGACTGCCCTACATGGAGTTTATAAAGGGCACCCGTCTGCACGTCGTCATTCGCGATATGACCCGTGATGATCCGGGTTAGAATAGGTCTTCAGCAAACCATGCTTATTGTGAGAGGCGACTCACGGGATCTGGTGGTCAGACTCGCTGACGTGGTTGATGCATGTCCTTGTATCCCATATGTGTGGATCGATGCTCATATCAATCACTGGATTGTCTGGTCCAGACTCGATTATTTACAGACCGCTGTCATATAGCAGGAGTTTTGCTGAGTGCGGCGATAAACAACAAACGAATCATTTGCCATATTGTGCTGTGATGAACGTTAGAATGATGTCCAATGTGCCTGACTTGTCCCTGCTTTTAGCATGCTGACGGTAATTTCTTAACATGGATTTGCGTCTTCCCATGATTGTCAGAGGGGCGGGTAGCCTAGTGGTTAAAGCATCGCTCGTCACGCTGAAGACCCGGGTTCGATTCCCGACATGGGTACAATGTGTGAAGCCCATTTCTGGTGTCCCCCGCCGTGATATTGCTGGAATATTGCTAAAAGCGGCGTAAAACCATACTCACTCACTCACTCACTCACTCATGATTGTCAGATGTCCATTAGAGATGTTTTCCACATCGCAGAAGTATTCAGCAACGAATGCAAGAAAACAATTGAGAGGGCCAGGGCCAGAGGAAACGTCTATCTGAAAACATTAGCCACTACAATTATGCATACTTTGTTTATTCAAAAATGTGATTAAGTGTTGCTGAACATTCTTTGCATAGTATGGTTGAATGTGCTTATCACGCCATTTGCAGTCTTGTAAAAACCCACGAAAGTTGACTGTCTGGCCTGTACGGATACATCATACATCATACATCATACATCATCATGTTACATCATACCATATTTGACGTAATAAGCGCCGACAACGATATTTGCTGATATATTGGCTGGTCAACAATCCCAATTGGCACCCCTTCCGATTGATCAATGTGCACAAGACTTTTTTATTCGTGTATAATACACACTCATGTGTTACATGCACCTTTATTATGGGCAATTAAATTCTGGAAAAATGTGTTTGTCGTGTATAAAACGCATCAGCTCTTCTTTTATATCATTCAGGCTGTCAGCATAAACAACGAAATTTATGATCTTTCAACTCTGTTGTTTTTTCACCAAAATTATATTCTAACAAGAGCCCCCTATTCCTAATTTTAAGAGCGCCCTGGGCGTTTATTACGTCGAAAACGGTACTTGCTATTGCAGTGTTTGTGTACACCCCCCCAACCTTCAGGCTTGTGGGGTATAAGCCCCTCACCCTCATTCAGTAACTCATATAAGACCTGTGAAGATTCCGGGGTAGAATAGGTCTTCAGCAACCCATGCTTGCCGTAAAAGTCGACTATGCTTGTCGTAAATAAAGCTGGAATATTGCTGAGTGCGGCGTTAAACAACCAACCAACCAACCAACCAACCAGTAACTCATATTCTGTCAATCTTGGTGGGGGATAGCCTGCTTCTGTGGTCTAGTAAATAGTGTCAGCCCGAAGAACCCGGTCACATCATACCTAAAGACTTTGAGAGATGGTACTTGTTACCCTGGCATTCGGCATTAAGAGGGTAAAACAAGGACTGGTCAGCTTGGAGTCAGTATACTGTGTGAGTGGGATATCAAGTATTATATCTCAGTGGGTTAGCCTTGTAAAAAGGATGATGTTCAGACTTGTACAAGCAGCCATATGCTCATGTCAATCACTGGATTGTCTGGTCCAGACTAGAATATTTACAGCCCACCGTCATATAGCTGGAATATTGCTGAGTGTGGTGTTAAACAACAAACAAACAAATCTGACGAATATAAAATGGTTGGACCCTTAGCAGGATTGGAATAAATTGAAAGCTGTAATTTGACAATGATTATTGCAGAAACATTCGTCATTCGACGTAATAAACTCCCCATGGTGATATTTGCTTATATATGCTAGTGAACAATCCCAATTAGCAGCTATTCCGATTGATCAATGTACACAAGACTTATTTATTCGTGTATAATACGTACACATGCACCCTTAATAATGGGCAATTAAATTCTAGAAAAATATATCTGTCATGTATACACACAGTTTTCTTTTGTATCATTTCTGGCTGTCAGCATAAACCACGTAATTTACGATCTTTTAACCAGTGTTAACTGTTTGTTTTTTTCACAAAAATTATATTCTAATAAGAGCCCTCTATTTCTAAGTTTGAGAACGTCCCGGGCACCTATTACGTTGAATACAGTAAGTCACAGATTTGTCAAATACAAATTCAATTATTTAGTGTCATATTGTTGAGTGAGGCATGAGTTTTGATTATGTTTAGTTTACTTCCAGCAATTCTGTATGAGATTCTTTACCACGGGGTGTTTGGACTGACGAATGAGTTACAAGAAGCTGTGCTCTTTATTCGACAGCAGAAGAAAAGCTCTCGGGAGATACATGAAAAGTAAGTTAGAAATTTCTTGCCAACCAGCTCGGTTGACTTGTAGCACTATGACAAGAGGAACTCAAATCGGTTTGCGGCATTAATAAATTATGAAGAATCAAAGTTTGATGTGTAGCTAAACAATCGGTTGTGGATTTGACTAAAATCCAATGGATACAATTTTTAGTTTTGAAAGTAATCTTAATACAAACCATAAGGCTCAGAAATCTTACATGCATGTAGGGCAGTAATTTAACTTAGATATGCATGGAACTAGATACTTGGCTGTTAAATATTTAACAGCCAACTGAAATGGGTACAAGGTCATTGGGTAGTTTATCTTGGCTGATTGTGGAGAGCGGAAGGTCAGAGGTTTGATCCCCGCCCGTGTTATACCAAAAGATGTTAAAAGATGGTACTTGTTGTTACCCTGCCTGGCGCTATGCATTAAGGGCTTAAAAAAGGACTTCGGCTTGGCGTCAGTATACTGTGTCTGAGTGGGGTATTCATGTTAAACTGTGGCATGGTATCTCAGTGGGCTAGCACTATAAATTGGCATCAGTCCGGACTAGTATAAGCAGCCACACACAGACATGTGCAAGCACGTCGCTATATAAGTGCAGTAATCTTGGACACAATGTTAAACCCCATTTCACTTTCACCTTACCTCTTGGCTGATTGCAGGGGCGGTCAGGTAGCCTAGTGGTTAAAGCGTTCGCTTGTCACGCCGAAGACCCGGGTTCGATTCCCGACATGGGTACATTGTGTGAAGCCCATTTCTGGTGTCCCCTGCCGTGATATTGCTGGGATATTGATAAAAGCGGCGTAAAACCATACTCACTCACTCACTCACTCACTCACTCACTCACTTGGCTGATTGCCGGAGATTTACATGGAATTTTCACATAGAATTAGGTGACAAAATATCTATATTGAAAACTGTCAATCGGTGAGGTCACACCGAAAGTAAGCCCACCATCTGCAATCTGTTTCAAGGTGTTGCTCCAGCAGCTTGCATTGTGTGAAGTCGAAGGACATTCCACTATTGAAGCTTGTGCTGGGTCATTGTGTCAGGTCCATCATATTGATTGTCATTTTGATTGTCATTTATTGACAAAATTAGGGGTCGTGCTTGCATGCTTGCTTGTGGTTTCAGGGAATTCAGTTCTCTGTGCAAGGATCTGCTTGACAAGAGTGAGAGTTCAAAATGGTAGCACATATACCCTGACCCTTGGAATGTTATTGTTAAACACTGCTCCTCGGGTTTGATTGAGGGCCCTAGGTCTTTCCCGAGCTCAGTTTTACGTTTTCAACCAATATTAACAAATTTATGAACCGCCCAAATGCAAGAAATACCAGAAAGAATACAAAAACATCGAGATGCCTTATTGTGAGACAATACAGTGGTTTCGGTATAAAGCAAATTGCGCCAGTTGAACCGTTGCTTATCACCCAATGCGATACCTACACACCAGGAACACGCTTGTCAAACTTCTGTGTTTAATGGCGGACGTTACAGAGGCCGGGCAAGGGAGATAACTCCGGAGACTTGCCATTACAATAACCACAAATAATAATGATGGCGTGACCACCTTTTCTCCTTCTCTACAGGAGGATAATGAGTTTGAACCAATGGATGGACAATCATTGACATTTATAGTTGTAGAAATTGCAAAATAACTGCCTGTTTTATAAAGTCCAGGATTGTTGAATTTATTAAATACTTATTGATTACGCACTGTAAGTCCCTTTTTGTTCATAAAGTCACACCAAAAAGTCAATGTTTTGAAAGAAACTGAAAAAGAAGAGTACTGATGAACCATCATGACAGTTGGCGAGAGAAAGACCATGTGCAGCATGCACACAACTGAAGTCATCCTATGATCATGGGTTTGTCAGCACCATACTCATGCTACGATCTGCATCACTTTGGCTGACATGCCAGCATTTTACTGAACTGTTGAAATCAGCCGAAATCACACTCGCTGTATACAAGCCATTTTGTTTTCACTCACCTTTACATTGTCAGTGTGTGCTTATATTATTGATCTTTATCGTGTATAAAATCTCATTAATATTTTTTTCACAGAACATATTCTACATGTTCCTGGCTACAACAAATCAAACTTGTCCCACTGAATACTTCAAATGGCCACCAGGTTCTTGTCAGTAACCATTGGACAGATTGTATTGAGATTTTCACAGTATGCGTATAAGATCCTTCTTTACAATAAAGGAAGGTTTTGATTTTGGCATTTGGCAATGTGAAGGCACTTGTTAGCAGGGTGACATATTTGAATTAACCCCCAACCACCCACCCACCCACACCCACACCCACACACACACCCACACACACACCCACACAGTCCTTGTCAAAGTTTGCCAGTCCCAAAGTTTAAACTTTGTATTTCGTAATCGCCCGAGGGCCCAAAACAATTTCCCTGAACGTTTGTATTGTGGGATGGCTGGTATTTCCCACTCAGTTGTTACAAATAGGATGGTTGTAATCAATGGAATAATTTTATGTCACTGAAAAAAGGTGAGCTTAAGTACCTGTGGTACTAAGGGTGTTATACCATTGTGCACTGGAATGAAACTTAGACATTTGTTTTCAGTGGCTGTTTATACTTGGAGACCTGCCACAGTGGAGAGAACAACTTCCTTACAGTAAGTCTTGTTGCTTGGAAACATGCATGCCACAGTGGAGAGAACAACTTTGTAAACAGTAAGTCCAGTGACTGTAGGAGGGGTACTTCCTTCACTTGATCAGTCTGTGAGCTGGGATAGCCCAGCGTACATCTTCCTGTGGCAAGGGCGTTAACTGACTATAAAAGTCCAGTTTCCACCCTTGCCGAACTTGGCTGGAATTCCGAGTTACATTTTAGCTGGACTAATGAGTCTATGCATAGTCCAATCAAAATCATGTAACGGAGTAGACATCCGGTTCGTAAACAACATGGGTTTCAACATGCAGATTTCGGTCGACTGCAGGATTTGCAAAGCACATTTACGGCCAACTGGACGTCGACAGATATTTTGCAAATATTTTCATGTTTTTAATCAAGGTAGTCCCGTGATTTGATGCACTTCGTGAATATAGATCTTGATTATCGATCAGATCATCTGGATTGGGTGCCGCCATTTTGTTTGAAGCAAATGCAAGTGATATGAGAGATGGAATCATATTGGTCAATAGGGGGATGCAACTCTTAACCTGATCCAGTCTGTAGAAACCTAGGCTGTGACTATTCTGCCTGCTAAGTCTTGTTACGTGTCTGTAATTGTTATTGCGTGCTTCCTTTGTTTGTAGTTTTCTGCTTCCTTTGCACTCATTTTCATGTTGGGCATAAGGCCACACTTTTTTCAAACTTTTGTTTCACAGATTCATTCCAGCTTTTCGAGGTTGGTTGAAATGGAAATAAATTATTTATTTATTTATTTATTTATATGAAACTGCAGCTTGTATTATAAAGCATGTTTATTTTGTTTCAAATTCCTAAATTCCCTGATAGTTGCCTCCCTTATATTTCACTACATGATGGTAGGTGTAGTAGAGATATGTTGTTTGAGCTGTTTGGCCTATTGCTGTAATGATATGCTCACTTAGTAGAAATTTGATTAGAATAGTTTATCTAACACTGTTAATTTTTGTTTTCAGCGCCATATAAGCCGGTCCACGCCACCACTGCCGTATCGGATAGCCAAAGCTCTAGACCCAGTGTTTTTCAGAAACGTTGAACTTGACATTATTCAGGAGGAGAAGAGAGGTGAGGAGAATTGTTGGTTGGTCTTGAGGCCAGAGCAGTTTACTTTATGGAAGAAATGGGGCATAGGGGTAGCCTTGTCGTTAAAGCTTTTGCTCATCATGCCGAAGACTGCAGGTTCGATTACCCACATGGGTACAATGTGTGAAGTCCCACACCGTGATATTGCTGGAATATTACTTAAAGTGGCGTAAAACTCACTCACTCACTCACTCACTCACTCACTCACTCACTCACTCACTCAGAGCAGGTCACCAGTCTGTGTTTGTCGTTGAAGACGCTTAACTTGAACATTGGGTGGTCCATCCATATGTGTGTGCTGTGAGTTGCAATACCCACCAGCCATGCGAGATTAACTATAGTCAGTAGATATAGTTGAGTTAAGTTCCTTTCCTGAAGAAAAACTTCGTAAATATGTTTCACCAAAAAGTCATAGAAAAAAGGCATATAGCCAATCAAACACAGCTATTTTTGTTTGTCTATAAGAACAAGAAAAAAGGTTTGTCAAATAAGTCAAATATACTCCAGGCTAATCAAATAGAAATAAATCTGGGGGACAGGAGACAGATGTGTGTGAGGGGAACAGTATCGATTTGAAATGGTATTCATGCTATTCATGTAAAATCATATTGAAGGGAGGGAGGGGGTGGCGTTGTAGTAGGGTAAATAGTATTATTTTGGTAAGTTACAACTTCGCAGTGACACCGACGTTGATCCATTGTAGCTTCAAGCATAATGTGAGGTGGCACGGGTGGCCCAGTCACCTTAGGCGCCTCGATTCGCTGTGCAGAGTTGCGTCCCTTGGGCATGCCAGAAACCTATGATTGTGGGTTCGAATCCCGGTTCGCCCCGATTATGTTTCTAGGTTTGTCAGCACCATACCGGTGCTTGTGGGTTTCACCGAAGTGGTAAACGTCTGAGACCTGCATCACTTCAGGCTTTCCTCCCACATTAAGCTGACACGTCGCGATATAACTGGAATACTGTTAAAAGCCGTGTTAAACCCAACTCACTCACTTGCTCACTCAAGGAAAATGTTCTAATTCAAGGTTCATGATTTCTTGAAGCATTCATAAAATGCTTTCATGTGGCTCAGTTTATTGAAGTGCTTTGATGGAAGGCTTGTTTCCAACATTGGTGATGTAAGTAAACATTTTATTTCCAGGCAGCAAATATTCAGTTTAAGTATTTCCCTATGTGATCATGTCTAGGTCCAGCAAACCATCGCAATATACCGTATTCAACATAATAAGCGCCCACGGCCATATTTGCTAATATATTAGCTTGTGAACAATCCCAATTAGTACCCCTTCCGATTGATCAATGTACACAAGACTTATATATTCGTGTATAATGCGCACTCGTGTGTCACATGTACCCTTAATTATGGGCAATTAATTTTTGGAAAATGTATCTGTCTTGTATAATACATACAGACTTTCCTTTTGTTTCATTTCAGGCTGTTAGCATAAATTTACCATCTTTCAACTCTATTTTTTTTCATCAAAATTATATTTTAATAAGAGCCCCCTATTTCTAATTTTGAGAGCGCCCTGGGCGCTTATTACATCGAATGCGGAAAGTCCAATTACATGTGATGTTAAACTTCATTTTACCTCACCTCCAGCAAACCAGTGATTGACAGCATGAGCAGTGATGCAAATGGTTGGGGAAAGGTGATGCAGTCAGCCAGGACACACATTGGGACCAGGCCATGGGGTAGCATTGTGGTAAAAGCATTCGCTCCTCACACCAAAGACCCGGGTTCGATTCCCCACATGGGTACAGTGTGCAAAGCCCATTTCTGGTCCCCTTGCCATGATAATGCTGGAATATTGCCAGAAGCGGTGAAAAAAATAACTCACTCACACATTTGGGACCCTTGAAGATACCGGGTAGAATAGGTCTTCAGTAACCCATGCTTGCCATAAAAGGCTACTATGCTTGTCGTAAAAGGCGGCTAATGGGATCAGGTGGTCAGGCTCGCTGACTTGTTTATGCATGTCATCATATCCCAATTGCGTGGATCAATGCTCATGATGTTAATCACTGGATTGTCTGGTCCAGACTTGATTTTTTACAGACCGCCGTCATATAGCTGGAATATTGCGAATATTGCAACATTTACTTTTTAGTTTCCATGATGCTTGAGCTTGAAAATGTTTGTACCAAACTACAAGATGAACCAAAAATTGCAATCTTAAGATGGAAGTACCTTGTTTTCCACAAGTGCTAAGAAAATTGACAGAAGAGTGTGCTTTTTGAAACCATGCTCTATAAGTTAAAGTTGTTTTCACATATCAAGCAGTAGTGAACAAATAGTTATGAGGAATCAAATACCCTTTTAGGCCACACATTATTTTTTCTTTCACTGACCCGTCACCGCAACTGAAAAGCAGCTGGAAAAGAAATAAATTAAGCTTTAAAACATTTATTTTATGTCTCCCGCCGGTAATATGGACCTTTTGCAATATAAAATTTTAAATATATATTCCATGTCTACATCACTATCAGAAGCCAGCTGTAGTTTCATCTCGATGGCAGAATGATTTCACATAAATAAATAGGTGAATGACATTGCTATTTATTCTTATTTTCATTTCGACCGACCTTGTGTGGAAAAGCTGGAATAAATCCATGAAACATTGAATTATAAAAGTGTGGCCTTAGAAGATCTGTAATATACACTATTAACCACTGACCGTCTTCTAAAAATTTGATCTTAGTGGGTGCTATTAATGATTACTTGGACTTTAGTCTACTCGGTAAGGGGTCACTTATTGTAGGAGAGCTCTTAATGGGACCAATTCAGTTCCAGCATAGCGTAAAATATCATTTCTCTCATCAGTGGATCATATAATTTGAAATGACACAGGACCACATTTATTGAGTATATATGGGCAGTATTTATGGGCATGAATTACTGATAGTATCATCACTTTTAATGTCTATTCATTGGACTTGTGGCACTGATATGTTTGATCATCAGTCTGCCATGCATAAATGGGTATTGTTACATTGTCAGGATTTTGTAAGGACGGGAATAATAGTGGAATACTTACTGCAATACTTCACACTTCCATAACTTTTGCTTGTTGTAAGAGGCGACCAACAGGATCGGGTGGTCAGGCTCGCTGACTTGGTTCATACATGTCATTGTATCCCAATTGCATGGATCGATGCTCATATCAATCGCTGGATTGTCTGGTCCAGACTTGATTATTTACAGACCGCCATCATATAGCTGGAATATTGCTGAGTGCGGCGTTAAACAGCAAACAAACTTCCATAACTTTCACTGATTTTATACAGATACTGACTGCATTTGCCTTAATGTTATTCAGAAGGTCGATCTTTTGATCGCCTGGTAGCATAAACAAACATGTAGAGATTGGACGTACTGTTACTTCCCTGGCACTCGGCAGTAGGGGATAAAACAATGACTGGCTTGCTCGGAGTTAGTATAATTTTGAATGCGACGTGAAGCCCCTTTTCACCTCAGCTTGGGACCCGTGAAGATTCTGGGGTAGAATAGGTCTTCAGCAACCCATGCTTGTCGTAAAAGGCGACTAATGGGATCGGGTGGTCAGGCTCGCTGACTTGGTTGATGCATGTCATCAATCCCAATTGCGTGGATCGATGCTCATGATATTAATCACAGGATTGTTTGGTCCAGACTCGATTATTTACAGACCGCTGTCATATAGCTGGAATATTGCTGAGTGCGGCGTTAAACAACCAAATACACCAAATGGTGTTTCTGTGGACGTTAAATTGTCTTGCAACATCATGTTGACTCGATCCTGCTTCAAGCATACCAATGGCCCGCAGACGCTTTTCGGACAGGCGTGGCATTCCGTAATGTTGAATAATTGCGTAATTTTGTTGTTTTTCTGAGTGGTTGTCAGCACGATGCTAAAAAATGCATATGGAATCCCGTTAACGCACATGTTTTTATACCCATTCTTGGGTAGTGAAATGCATGGGGCTTGCATAAAAGTCAACTTTTGCATGGAATGCATGCTTTTCTGTAACAGTTGCGTTTTTGTGACTTGATTCCATACATATACTACAATATTGAAAACCAAACTTTACTTGTTTGAAAAATACACTAAATTATTGGTGTCACAGGAACTTTTGTTGTTGAGTATATTATAAATCAAAATATTCTTTGAATCAAAATTTAAACATGTTATGTTCTTTGTGGAAATCAAGGTGTTACAATATTAAACAATATTTACTGAAGCCATTTAATGTTAAGCATATTCATGTTTTGGAATAATTTTGATAAAATTTGTCCTGACAATATGCTGGCTATCTATTTCCTAAAACTCTGGTTACAACCGCAGTGTCCACTGTGAACAGCTTGGAAGGTTCATCGATACCTCCCAGCAACATGGCCATTATCAATGTCATGGAAGTTTGAAATATGTAGAGACATTGTGTCCCTCATTTAACTGGGGTTATGACTCTGTACACACAGAGGAGGCCCGGGTAAGCTAAATATGTTTGTTTTCCTTGTTCATGGGTTTTCCCACGTGATTTATGCTACTATAGGGCAGAGTTGCTTCATGACCAACACCATAAAGATGTCAATCAGGTCATCATTGTGTGGGTTTAATGAACGCTTGTTGAGCAGACGCCATCTGTAGTGTAGACGTGAAGGTATGTCTAGTGAAGGAAATGCATGGGTGTTGTGTACGCTTGTAAGTAGTCTTTTGTTTGTCGCATCAATTTTAAAGCTCTGTAGGTACGTTTAGTGGTTGTTACAACAAATTTCATCGTTTTGTGTTATTATTTTATTTATTTTTAAATATATTTTTTTAATGTCCTTGCATTCTACCAGTATTTTATTGTGTGCATATGTGAAGTAGGCTCTCTAGGCAAATACAAGGTTTTGAAAAGTTAACATGTTTTGAGAAAAATTGATTTTGGGAAATAAATTTTCACATTTGAATTGTTAGTGTTAATTTAAATTTTAAACAATTGTAGCTTATGCTATGGAAAGAGTTAGCTGTCGCAGGTGGCAAAGGTGTGTGATTGTGGGTTGTGTATGATAACGTTAGAACTTTGAATTGCATCCCTCTTTGTTGTAATATCCAAATAATGAGGATTGATTATCACTTCAGGCTTTCCTCAAACATAAAGCTGGCATGCTTGTTGGAACTGGAATACTGTTAAAAGCAGTGTTAAACCCAACTCGCTCACTCACTCACTCACTCATTCCGATAGCTGTTAAAGCAGTGTTAAACCCAACTCACTCACTCACTCACTCCGATAGCTGTTAAAGCAGTGTTAAACCCAACTCACTCACTCACTTGCTCACTCCGATAGCTGTTAAAGAAGTGTTAAACCCAACTCACTCACTCACTCGCTCACTCCGATAGCTGTTAAAGCAGTGTTAAACCCAACTCACTCACTCACTCGCTCACTCCGATAGCTGTTAAAGCAGTGTTAAACCCAACTCACTCACTCACTCGCTCATTCCGATAGCTGTTAAAGCAGTGTTAAACCCAACTCACTCACTCACTCGCTCGCTCACTCCGATAGCTGTTAAAGCAGTGTTAAACCCAACTCACTCACTCACTCGCTCACTCCGATAGCTGTTAAAGCAGTGTTAAACCCAACTCACTCACTCACTCGCTCACTCCGATAGCTGTTAAAGCAGTGTTAAACCCAACTCACTCACTCACTCGCTCACTCCGATAGCTGTTAAAGCAGTGTTAAACCCAACTCACTCACTCACTCGCTCACTCCGATAGCTGTTAAAGCAGTGTTAAACCCAACTCACTCACTCACTCGCTCACTCCGATAGCTGTTAAAGCAGTGTTAAACCCAACTCACTCACTCACTCGCTCACTCCGATAGCTGTTAAAGCAGTGTTAAACCCAACTCACTCACTCACTCGCTCATTCCGATAGCTGTTAAAGCAGTGTTAAACCCAACTCACTCACTCACTCGCTCACTCCGATAGCTGTTAAAGCAGTGTTAAACCCAACTCACTCACTCACTCACTCCGATAGCTGTTAAAGCAGTGTTAAACCCAACTCACTCACTCGCTCATTCCGATAGCTGTTAAAGCAGTGTTAAACCCAACTCACTCACTCACTCGCTCACTCCGATAGCTGTTAAAGCAGTGTTAAACCCAACTCACTCACTCACTCACTCACTCCGATAGCTGTTAAAGCAGTGTTAAACCCAACTCACTCACTCACTCGCTCATTCCGATAGCTGTTAAAGCAGTGTTAAACCCAACTCACTCACTCACTCGCTCACTCCGATAGCTGTTAAAGCAGTGTTAAACCCAACTCACTCACTCACTCGCTCACTCCGATAGCTGTTAAAGCAGTGTTAAACCCAACTCACTCACTCACTCGCTCACTCCGATAGCTGTTAAAGCAGTGTTAAACCCAACTCACTCACTCACTCGCTCACTCCGATAGCTGTTAAAGCAGTGTTAAACCCAACTCACTCACTCACTCGCTCATTCCGATAGCTGTTAAAGCAGTGTTAAACCCAACTCACTCACTCACTCGCTCACTCCGATAGCTGTTAAAGCAGTGTTAAACCCAACTCACTCACTCACTCACTCCGATAGCTGTTAAAGCAGTGTTAAACCCAACTCACTCACTCGCTCATTCCGATAGCTGTTAAAGCAGTGTTAAACCCAACTCACTCACTCACTCGCTCACTCCGATAGCTGTTAAAGCAGTGTTAAACCCAACTCACTCACTCACTCACTCACTCCGATAGCTGTTAAAGCAGTGTTAAACCCAACTCACTCACTCACTCGCTCATTCCGATAGCTGTTAAAGCAGTGTTAAACCCAACTCACTCACTCACTCGCTCACTCCGATAGCTGTTAAAGCAGTGTTAAACCCAACTCACTCACTCACTCACTCACTCACTCACTCACTCACTCACTCACTCACTCACTCACTCACTCACTCACTCACTCACTCACTCACTCACTCACTCCACTGCCTGTAAGATCAACCACTTGTCTACCTGGCTGTGGTATAGGTTGAATATTGACGACTTGGACATAAAACACTGAACAAACTGTGTGTATGTGTACATTACATGTTTTCCTCATATCAGAAGGTGTGGAAATTCAGGGTAAGATTTGGTCATTAGCAATCAGCTGATCAGGATTGATGACTTGGTGGGTGGCATGTCAATGTACCCTGGTGTGGATCATTGCTTATCTCAATCACTGGATTGTCAGGTCCGGACTTGACTGACTGACAGGGTGCTGGGTGCAGCATTCTCGTGCAAACTCTCATTTGTACTTGGATGTCTGAGATAAGAAAGGAGTTCATATTTTACATGAGAGCAACAAGTCTTGAAAAGTGAATGAATTGTTTTGGAAATACTTGATAATGGATGCAGTGATGTTCATTGTTCATCAACTTTATGATATATTCTTACTGTGAAATAAGATGATTTAAATATATTTTATGCGATTTATCTTTTCAGAAGCGAAGTTAAGAACTCAGCAAGGCAAGGACTTCAATGGTTTTGCCCCTGGTGACAAGTGTCAAGTAAGTTTTTTAGTTTGGAGACTTAGGTGTGCTGATACAATAATCTTCTTATTTACTAAACGAACAGTTTCAATACAAATATAAATCTATTTTCTACCCATGAAGATCCGGGTTCGTATAGGTCCTCAGCAACCCATACTTGCCGAAAGAGGCGACTTAAGGAATCGGGGGCACAGGCTTTCTCACTCATTGCTGAATGTGGCGTTAAACAAGAAGATATGTTTCCCAATTCCAGTACTTTTATTTTTTGTTTTAGCCAGATCTTTTATTTTTTTCATTTTCTTTGCCTTCAACTTTGAAACAAAATGCATATTTTCCACTCTTTTTTAATACTATAGTTCAGCAGTAAATTCACTAAGTGGAATTGGGCCCTACTGCAGTTTTTTTAATATAATTATTTAATAATGATGCATATATGAATCTTTGAAATACATTTTCGTGTTTATCCGGAAGTTCTTGATGTCTGAAGTCTGTTGTAATCGGAGAAGTTGAAGAGTTCAGTGAGCTGTGAGTGGTTGAAGTGGAGTGGTATAAGACAAATATTGCAGTTTCCTGGCCTTGTGCAATACGTGTGATATACACTCCACCCCTCCTGGATCATACCAGCTGGGGACAATGTAACTAGGAAGTGAGCCCAGTTGAAGGGTCCAGGGTCAGATTGTCCGGCTACTATACTCCACAACCTCACTGTATCTAGACAGCCACAATCTCCATTGTTCTCACATTGGACGTGAAGTGTTCCTCATATGGCGCTGTTTAAACAAGTCCCTGTTGCAAGAGTGAACATCTGATGCCATCCAAGGAATGTCTCATTGAAAATATGTGTACTGAACAAAAGAGTTAGGGATCAGGAACTATTTCTTTTTCGGAAATATGAAATTTGTGTGCTCTGTCTTCACTACAAAAAATATATCCCATAAGATATTCATGATCCTTAACTCCCCCCCCCCCCCCCCCCAGTATTTTAAGGGTTATGGGGTTTAAGGGTCCGGCGGTCGGGTAGCCTAGTGGTTAAAGCGTTCGCTCGTCACGCCGAAGACCCGGGTTTAATTCCCAACATGGGTACAATGTGTGAAGCCAAACTCACTCACTCACTTTACTGCCTTAATTGTGAGACATTTTGAGGGATAATTATGAAATTAAAAACAAAATTAGGTAAACTTATTCCTTAACTGTTTCTGGGTTCGCACCAAGGTTTGTATTGATTGTTTCTAGGTTTGTCGGCACCATACCCATGCTTGTGGGTTTCACTAAAGTGGTAAATGTCTCCCACCTGCCTCACCTCGGGCTTTCCTCCCACATAAAGCTGACACGCCGTGATATAACATGATTACTGTTCAAAACAGTGTTGAACCCAACTCGCTCACTTTCAAACAATTGATCAAATTGTTGCGGAGGTATACATGAAAATGAGTTTGAGCTGTTTCCTTTCTTAGCTCACCTGACTGAAAATCAAAGTGAGCTATGTTGTGGGGTGTTGTTCGTCATCTGTATTAGGGATGGGACAGGTTACTCAGGTACTCGGGTTGGGTGTGTCGGGTGTGTCCTGAGTAGGACCAGGGTTACTACAGGACTACCCGGACCCGTGGTGTGTCACGTAGTACATTGTTCAAATACAATAACAATAAAAGTCGGCATGTTTGCATTTCTTTCAGACTACGCACACATTGTTTCTGACTAATATACGTTTGAGTAAAGATATAACTTCAGTCGACTTCAGTGTATGCATCATCTGATCATTCTATACGTGTAGGTAAATAGCATTTGCCAGGGCTCCAGAAAAACAATTCCCCATCGGACCCAACTCTTGAGTCCTACAGTGGGTACCCGGGTAGGGTCGGGTCAGGTTATTGGGTGACGAGTACCTGGGTTGTAAATTTGGACTCGTCCCAGCCCTAATCCGCATTTTTGTCTAACTACAATCTTTGACCTCAAGTGTGTCATTGCATTTTTCATCTCTGAAACACAGGGCCTATAGATCTGAAACTTTGTATAAGTAATACCAGGTATTGTGTCTCTGAAACACGAATGCAGAATACTGATCTGGCCTCTGTCATTTCCTCATTTTTCAAGGACCGCCTCCATGATCTAGTGGAAAGAGCGTCTGCCTGGAGAGAGAAAAATCAGTGGTTTCATCCCCATCTGTGTTATTCAGAAAGACATAAAAGATGGTACTTGTTGTTACCCTGCTTAAATTGGTGCTTGACATAATCGGATAAAACAAGGACTGGTCGGGTCAGAGTCGGTATACTGTGTCTGAATGGGGTATTTATGTTAAACTGCATGGTATCTCAGTGGGATAGCACACCAATGTGCATTCACATTGCTATGTGAGAGTGATAACCCTGAACACAACGTTAAACCTCATTTCACCTCACAATTCTGGTTAGGCGTTCGGGTAGTCTAGTGGTTAAAGCGTTTGCTCGTCACGCTGAAGACCCGGGTTCGATTCCCGACATGGGTACAATGTGTAAAGCCCATTTCTGGTGTCCCCCGCTGTGATATTGCTGGAATATTGCTAAAGCAGCGTAAAACCACACTCACTCACTCACTCACTCACTCACACTTCTGGTGAGCTGCAAAGGCTTGGGGCTCTATTTATTTCTCTGATGTTGGCTTCCAGCAGTAGAGCATACAAGTAATAAATTCAACATTAGCATTGAACAAAATTGACTATCATTGGCTTGCAGTACCTGATATGCTTCCACAGTTTTCAAAGAGATTGAAATGTTTGTCACGAGGCTTTGGTATATCATGTTTTCCACATGACATATCTTATGTTACAGATTTTCTTGATAAACTGATTTTCTGGCTTATCTACAATTTCACCTTAAGGGTGATGTGTGAATTTATCACAGGCGGCACTCCGAGACAGCTGTCGCATTAGCCACGTTACTGCTGCATGCTGTTGATGAGATATACTGTTAACTCTAACACTAATATATTTTTAATAGGAATTAAATCAAGTGGGAGTATCGCTAAGCTCGAAAACATGATAGCTTCCAGAGTTTGGAGAAATGTGAATGATTTTGATGAGGGTATTTGAAATAGTATCATTTTACTGTTAAAAACTGCCATCTGTTTCTCAGCAGTATAAGGACTATGGATTTAAGTCAATTAATTTTCCTACAGGTTTATTCAAATTATATAAAAAAAACGTTTATTTGATAAAACACATTTTATCACAGAGTTAACAATTACCCTAATTGCCTGTTGTCTGTGTGTGCAAGAATTGTTATTCCCCAACCTAAAAGGGCGGGGGCATATAGTTATAACAAAGGAAATCCATCCGTCCTTCCGAGGACATTTTATTGTGCGATGATCGCGGGTTCGAATCCCGGTTCGTCCCGGTTATGTTTCTAGGTTTGTCATCACCAAAGTGATAAATATCTGAGGCCTGCTTGACTTTCCTCCCACATTAAGCTCACAGGCCATGCTATAACTGTTCAAAGTGGCATGAAAACCAACTCACTCACGAATAACAGCCCATCCCCAAGGAATCAGTGTCTGTAACTGCGACACTATGGTACACAATGACCTTGTGTGGAAACTGACACTAAACACTCAGAACTACAGAGATCGAGATATGCTGCATATTTGCGTAAACTACGCATAAAATGAACTGAAATACGCAGACAAATCAAATCCTTGCGTATCAAAAACGTAACAAAAGCTTTAAATACACTATTGAAATAAAACTAATGCGTATATTATAAGTATTAGATAATACGATTGCGTATATTACAACTGTTAGATAAAATGTGTATCAGCCGATTACCAAATTCGCTTACAGACAGTTACATTCGGAAAAGCTTCTGCAAAAAACATACTGTTAAATGCCAATTGAAAAGTAGATCATGCCTGGTCAATGTACATGTTGTATCTTAATTAGTTGCTGCTGGGTGATTAAAGAAATAAACAAATTAATAAAAAATGGCTGCCAGGAGAGGGAGCCGCAAACAGACGTAGACGGGTATACTGCTGTTCACCTAGTTTTAAATGATTTACAGGTATTGTTACAAAACAGGTTAAATAAGTTTATTACCCAAATGTCCAGAAACAGGTGGGTACAAAAAATGAAATACCCTCTAAAACTTGTGGAAACCCAATCCAAATCAAACCCCTGGTGAAAAATACCCAATTAACCAGAAGTTTATCGATAGCTCTGGAACTAGTCCTGGTTTGAATAACTTTGTAACTTTAGATTCATTAGGAGAATCATGAAATAATTATTTAACGTTTTGTGAGAGATTTGAAAAAGGAATGCACAACATTTGGGAGGGTACATATTTTTTTGGAAGAAATGAAAAAAGTCCTGTGAGTTTTATGGTTTTATTATCTGCCATTGGGGTCTGCGCCTGATAACATCTTTGCTGTGCAGATTAGGTCTGAAGGACCGTGTTTGTCATGAGAGTCAACAAAAGATTGTGTGGTTATGATGGTCGTCCTGACCGACTGTCATAGTAGTCTGACAGTGTCGATCATGATTTGCTCGAACCCTGTTGCACAAAACGTTCTTAGTGTGACGACTATTGTCAGACCATGTTGCTTAATGTGCGTCCTGACCGAGTGTCCTTGTACCCAGACATTGTGGATCATGCATTGCTTGATAAAAAAAAAAATCCAGACATTGTGGATCATGCATTGCTTGAAACCTTTTAGCGCTATGACCATCGTTCGACACTGTTGGGTTATGGGAGTTACCTTAATCAAAGCTTTAATACTATTGTAAGTCACTGTTGGTTCATGGGAGCTACGATAATATTGGCGCTAAGATCACTTGTGGAACGCTGCCGTGTCCAGTCTCCATTATCTTCAGGCTTCTATGATATGGAAAGAATGGTGCTGATGTAAACAAATTCTACTAACTGCATCTGTTTCAACTGTCAATCCATTTTAAATTGATGGTTGTGACAGAGAAACAGTTTCACTTGCCCCTCATTGTGTTATGCAATGTACACTGCTGTGATTTGGCTTACAAGTCGGCCTTGAAATACTAA